TCTTCTATATCTTCTAGCACTTTATTTCTTTCTTCTTTTTTAGTAATACTATCTGCTGTTTCTTGGTGCTATATATCATGTAATAATAATAAAATAAGTACGTAAAAAATAAAAATTTTATTGATATTTTTGCTACCATGGTTTTTGTTTTATATATGGAGTCATAAACAAAGGTAAAGTAAAACATAAATATGTTATAGTCCATAACCAACCTATCCACTTTGGTAAACTTAAAGATGGAAATATTTGAGAAAATAATTTTTCAAATAATATTCCAACGGATTGTAAGAAGAAAAATAAAATTTGATCACCAGGATTCCAAAATTGATACATTACAGTCCAAATAATATATTCATGAATTATTCCACTTATAATAAAAACTCCCATTATTGAAATTAGATTTTCAAGTAATTTTCCTATATGTTGATAATATTTTCCAAATAATGGAATGAAACGAATACTAAGAAATCTTCTCAATGGTCTATATATAAAAGAGACAAAAATTTCACGAAAAGCTTGGTGCCAACGTATAGACCAAAATTCTGTTAAAGAAGTAGACATCCAAGGGGATTTAAATAACAAATGCCACTCATTTTGATCATATTCGCCATGACAAAAAATTAAAGTAGCGAAAAAAATAAATAAACGATTTGCAATTTCCATGTTGATATAAATTGTTAATCCACAAAGAAGACAAAATAATAAAAATTGGTAATGAGGAAGAGATAATACTATTTCAACAGTAAATAATTGTAAAAAAGAATATATAATTAGATGTAACAATAAGAAAACAATAGCAGATGGTAATATATGATATGAAGCAACGGTATCTTTAATCGGTGAGTCGATTCTATTGGGATCAGGCAAGCTACGAAAAGGCCGTAACGCGTCTGCTTTGATTTGATATATTGACATGTAGATATCGGTCTCATTGTAAAATGGAATCATGAAAAAGAGGTCAATGTAGCGAAAACAAGAAGCCAAAGCAATTGAAGAAAATGAATTATCTAGAGCAAAATCATTGCAACTGAATTTGATAGGAATAGAGAACAAGTAGATAATACAAGGAATTGCTAACACGCGCTTTTTTGTTGATGAAACAGATGTCAATGGAGATGACAATAAGAAAGTAAGAAGGAAATATGGCGCCAAGAAAACAGGCACGTATAAGATTAGAGGAATAATGGTTCTAATAGGCATTCTTGGTCAATTTTTCAATTTGCTGCAAACATTTATTTATCTTCATTTATTTGTTTGTTGCACTGCAACATTGTAGTTAGGGTTAGAACGGATTTAAATGGGTAGTTCACGCATATTTTGAGTTTTGATGTAATGTTTGTGCAACCTAGTGATTTGAACCGGTTGGGCTATAATCGGCTAACCGACCCGAATTGAATAAATTTCGGTTAACTGGTTAAGTAAATTCTTAATCGGTTGACCCGTACAATCAGTTGAGTATCAGTAATCGGTTGACAGGATGTTAATAACATCAAGAGGGAGTGAAGTAATCTTAATAAGTTGACATTAAATATTTCGGTTTGGTTACCCGACTTCAAATCACTAGTTTGTAAATCATTTGATAAGCAACACGTAATTTATACTTACAGTATTGTTTTTTTTCAAACTTTAAGCAAATATATCCCAATAACCGCTTAATTAAAATCAATAAACTTTTTTTAGTCCAAATTCTACAGTTATAAAGAATTAAAATAAAAAAATTTTTAATCGAATTTTTTAGGTAGTTGTCGAAATATCTTCGTTCAAAGTTTTAAAAAAAAACTCAAAACACTTATCAAAATAGAAAATTTTTCTTATCTTTGGACCAAGATACTCAGTAACTATCTGATAAAATTCGATGAAATTTATTCGAATTCTACAGTTACAGAGAATTGAAATAAAGAAATTTTTATCGAATTTTATCACGTAGTTGTTAAGATATCTTCGGTTTAAGTTTAGAAAAAATTGGTACTACTTCTAATTTGTTTTTTTTTAAAAATTTAGAACGAAAATATCTTAACAACTATAATAAAATTTGATGAAATTTTTTTTATTTTAATTCTTTGTAACTATAAAATTTGAATAAAAAATTTATATTGAATTTTATTAGGTAGTTATTAAGTTAACTTAGTTCAAAGATAAGAAAAAATTTAGTATAGTTTTTATTTTAATATATAAATCAAAATTTAAAATTTCAATAAGATTTTAGTAAGCTATTAGTAGAATATCAGATATTTTTTTAGTCAATAGTTACTAAATACTTAGTACATATTATCTACTTATCAAATTGATACTACTTCTGATAAGCTTATTAGATATTTGATATTTTTATCATAAAATATTAGTTATCTGATATTTTATGATAGAAGTATTAAATATCTATAGGTTTATTAGAAACAATATTTATCTAATAAGTAGATAATATATACAAAATATCTAGTAGTTATTAGTCAAAAAAATATTTAATATTCTACTAATAGCTTACTAAAATCTTATTAAAATTTTAAATTTCAATTTGTGATAGATATTTTGAGTTTTTTTAAAACTTTAAACAAAGTTATTTTGTTTTTTTTTTGTTATTAAGGTAGTTTATATTATTGACAAGATTTTATTAGTTTTGTATATAGTATTATATATTAATAATTTCTATTATTTATAATTATATAAAAAGTATATAATAAGCTATATATTTAACTTTAGTTATTATTCAAGTATTTAAATATACACTCTTCTCATAGATCATTTTGACCATTTCTGGAGCTAAAGAAAAACTCAGATTTGCTTAAGAATATCAATAAGAAATAGCCTAATAGTCATTAAAAAAAGAGAAAGAAGGCCTTAAAATACAGATACTTTAATAGAAAGAACAAGAAAAATATTAGAAACTAAAAGAACTTTAGAAGATATTACTGTCGAAAACTACTACAAAAAACTTTTTTTGCAAAAAACTGGGGGATTTGGTCTTACACTGAAGCACAGATCTATTTACGTAATACAAACACATAGAAAACAGGAAAACAAACAAACGTGTTAACAAATACTAACAAAACGTGCTATATGACAACTAATAGAAAAGCAGCGCACAAGTCTAAAGCCAGAAAATTCACAGGCAAGAAGGAAAAGTTACAGGGAATTTAGAAAAAAGTACAAGGTCTTAAAGTCAAAGATAGCACAAAGATAATAGAATAACAGGTAACAGTAGAAAAGAGATATGGAATACAAAGAGCTTAAAATATTTTATTAAGAAGATTACTAAAGAGTACAGTCGAGAAATTATCCAAGAAAGCAGTGTATCAGTTCTAGGACTTGCAAATCACTTCAATGAAATAGTCGCAAAGGCAATGATGTTGAGAAAGAATTAATTACTTTGGCAAGGCAGTGGCATATCGCACTAAAAGAGCTGCCTTCACAGAAGGAGTAGACAAAGTTAAAGAAGTTCTAGAAAGAGAACAAGAAGCAACAACTACTCAACAAGAGAACATAAAAGAGGTAGT